TCCGGCTTCCTCCCACAGTTCTAAAACGACTTCAAAACATAGGACCAGGAACTCCTCCAACACTGCAAAATTAAGCGTGTGTAGATGATAAATAAAACCTGTATTAACGACAATTCAGACTTTAAAACAATGGCCAGTAAGAAGGAATCCGGCATCATCAAATCAGTTTATGTGTGTGTTTTGGAAGTTCTGCCCATCAGCTCCTTTTTTAAGTCTTTTTTTTTTTCTGTCTGAAAGCTTCCTGTGTTTTATGCAGTTGATTCTGCAACCTTCCCTCGTAAACAGAAACTCGGTTGAAATGTTCAACACTGCAAAAGCATCTAAATGATGCACATTCTGTTATGAACTGCCGTAACATTAACATGTTGTGTCTTTTTCTGTCCATTTTGGACAGAAAAGGGTAAATGAAATGGGCGAGCAAACATTGTGTCTTTATTTTCCTTGAAGTGAAAACAAAAAAGCAAAGTTTTGACTTTGATTATTTGCAGCTGTATATAACTGAGGCATGTCATCTACAGACAAAAACCGAGGTGAACGTGTACAAACTAGCATCTCATGTGATTCCCCCTGTTTTTTCCCCGCCTAGCTCCGTCTTTATTAATTCTGCCTTGGTCCGGTAAGAGAAAATAGATCAATCTGTGTTTGCCTTTCTCAGATGAGAAGCTAAAAATGAAATTGACATAACTGATTTTAGAGAGCTGAGAAATGAGGGCAATGATTCAACCTGGCTTTCATTTTACTTCTGCATTGAACGAAATGGAATTTGTGCTTCAGTCTTTCATTGAGGAGCTATTAGTGGTTCAGCTTGCACTCCGTCAAAAAGCTGACAAGGTCTTTGTCTTTAACTCTGTGCTGATGATGCTTTTAATCAACACTGATTAGTCTCAATAATAGAATGTAAACCTGATTTTAATTTATTTCCTGTTTCTCTTGATTGCAGTTAATAGTACTAGTTTGTAGAGGTAATAAAGCCATTAGTGGGCAATAAACTAGAAGCAGGGATTTGATTTTGTAATTAGTCAGTAAAACATCCATTTGTTTGATCTCAGCAGTCCAACAAAATATTCTTTGCTCTACATTCCTCATATGTCGACAGCTCTGCTTTCAGGCTCTGCTCTCGTCTGATCAATAAATCTGAAAGGTACTATGAAACGAGGATTGATCAGCCGTCACATCACACCCCCGCCCTCTTTGACGCGTCTTAGGTAATAGATAAAAATATTAATCTCCTCCGGTTATCACATGTTCACCTTACGGCTTTTTTTTTTTTTCTAATCATTTTTTTATTCTTATTAAATATGTAGCAGTTCCAGTCTGTATGAAAATCTGGGAAGCCATTTTCTTGGTACGCTGCTTTATTTGCTTTTTATTGATAAAAACAGTTGAGCACAAACTAATATGCAGCATTATAAAAACTTTGCAGACGAATATTTACGACATAAATCTGTTAAATTTTTACATATTACCAAATGACAATATATGTCATCTTAAGGCTCTAACAGATTCATATTATAGGCACTTGCATAGAATTTAATTGTGGTTCAACTCTGTTCACACTAAAATAATTCAAATACGTAGATTAACGAGCTGTTCATGTTCGTGCAGGCAATTTTTAATCATAAAAGCAAGTAATGCTTCAGTTGCAAAAATCACCGTGCTACTTAACTTCATGCCAAAACCATAAATCATGACATGTTTTTTTCTGTAACATGATATAGTGTCTATATTTATTTGATGGTATTTTCCCCTGGTGCCCCAATAAACAAGCATCGGATGTAAGACACTATGGTAAACATCTACTTACTGTAGATGAAAAAAAGAATCACTACAGTCATTTTTTTAACTATAATGTTATATCTTGGCAGTAGCCTACATTACATCATCATCTTATTCTGAACCACAAGTTTACAAAGAAGAAATTCAGTATCTATAAAAGGTCCTGTCGACTGATATTTGACAAACTCTCTTGAGTTTTGGAGTGAGTTGATAATGTTGTATATATTACCTAACCAGGATCTCATTTTTCACCTTCGTATTTAAAGAAAAAAAGCATTGAGAATCGACAGATTAAAACATTTTGATAAACGACGGCATTTGAATTATAAAAAATAAAAATGCGTCACAATGTATGAAACATGGCCTGCCTAGATTAAATTTGTGTCTGCTTCTTTGGTCAAAGTTTGAGTACCAAATATATCTCTAGCTTCTGGTATTAACTTAGCAGCTAAAGTTTGATGGTATCTTATGTTTGAACAAACATGCTGACACTTTCTTACAACTCGCAACATTCACATCAGTTCTTTATTTCATCCTGTAGAAGAGCTGCAGTAATGTCTGTTCAGGTTCTTGGGCAGGATTTTGCCGTCTTTCTGTTTCAAGAGACTTTAAGATGTCCGTCGTCCTCCAGTAAATTTCCTCACTCTGTTTGGAGAGCTCAGAAGAAGCTAGATGTTTCTTGTGTTTTCTTTGTACAATGTAGGAAGGTTTTTCTAGCATGGTCTTTGAAAATAGCACATCATCACTTTCTGGACGTTAGACCCTCAAAGCTCGGTTCACTCTAACTACTGATTAAGCACTGATTATTGGATGAAAATCCCTGCAGTGTCCTCTTTATTTCATCCCCAAGGTGTTCTGCTCGGTTGAGGCCGGGCCAGTCGAGTTCTTCCACACCAAACTCCTCCCTCTGAGAGCCTTTTAAAGTTTATCTTTTGAATTTGATTGGTTTTTATTATTGACCCTGAGGAGTCGATCCAATACTGCATGCTGACTAAAGTCTCTGGGAAACAACTTATTAGCACTAAAAGTTGTTATCCCTGGTTACTTGTAATGAAGTCTTAAAGAGCAAATTTGGCTTCAGCTTTCTTAGGCTGACTTTTTGTCTGTAGACGCAACTAATTCATCCTTTCACTTTGCTGATTATTTTTTGTTTGCTGCAGAAGCAGGAGTTGTTTGAAAATGATCAAATGAAGTGCTGGAATAAATAAAATAAAATAAAAAGTGGAAAAGTCCAAAAACATATAAATATATGGCACTGTACATAATTTTTATTTTGCAAAGATATGAATTCTTGGCACAGATTTAAGATGCTGGGCAATCATCCAACAGAAACTGTTTTTTCTGTACGAGAAATATCCATGTAATTTGCATTACCCATGGTCCAGATTAGTCTAAATTATTTTAACCTTTTTAAATGGATGTAAGAAGCAAGGTAATAGTTACTGAAATCATTTTCGTAATATCAGAAGGTTGTTGTCTCATCTGCAAAGTCAGTTTTTCCTAAGATTTTAAATCTGACAAAGTAAAGCTCCTAAAGTAAGTTATGCTTTTGATCCTGATCATACAAATTCGGCTGCTGTTTTTCATGCAGCGTGCCTCAACGCAGTGTTTCTTCCGCACTTTGTTCCCCTGAATGTCGGGCTGGAATCCAGGTCTAGCTGATCATGGCAAAACCCTTTCGGCGCCATCTCAGGCCACGTCACGAAGCTCACATTATTCGCTCCAGGGCACGTCTTCTCTGTCAGAAGATCTTAATCAAATAAGCGTCTTTTTGAAGGGATGTAAAGCCAGATTGAGACTCGGCAGCCTATGGATGTGGGTTTTTGTCAGTAAACAAAGAAGATTAGAAGTCAAGTTGTTGTTATTTGAAGAAAGTTGTTCTGAATTAAAGAGTCTTTGTGTTGCCGTAACTGAGTGATGTGAACAGGATTGGTGTGTCGATGCAAATGTTCTGAAAATTTGTTCTTTTTTCTTTTTTTCTTTTTTCTTTCAAATTTAGAAAGACAACTACTTCAAAAGCATATAATATCTCCCCGGTATTACCATGATTCCCTGCAGTAAAATTGTTTTATTGATTAGTCTCAAATTATTTCTTCTTTTCTGCAACCACGTATTTTTAATTAAAGTTTTCATTCTTACCATAATATCGATCCCACTGGATTAACAAAACAGCAAAACGGATTGAAAACATTCAGTCTTTGACATTTTACCACCGTGGGTGATTAATTCAGAGATGTGGCCTTTTTTTTAACCTGACACGTCATGGTTTCATGTTTTTAGTTTTTTAATCAGACATGCTGACATGTAAAATTAATTTCCGTAATCTTCATCTTGTGTCGGTGGAGAGGCATCTGAGAAGGGAATTGGACTGAAACAACAAACCAGTAAGGCGCAGAGTGTCATGGAAACAAAAATAACCATAACTATCCGAAGTGGTTCAGTATCTAAAATGTCACAACACAATATAACTCTGCAAATGAAGTTATTTGAAAATAATAAAATATGTGAATGCAAGAGTTATGCCGTTTTCTGTATAAAGAAATTGAGAGATTTTCCACTTAATAAAAGAAGATGACACATTGCTGTGTAATAATGTAATAGGTACAGGTACATATTAATACATCAGAAGCTGAGAAAAATCAAATATCTTTCAGTAATTGACTATAAAAAGTGAAAATAATTCTCTAGAGATTCATTTTTTTAATCTTCTACTGACACTCAAGGTTTATGAGAAACTGAATTCTGGGTTTTTATTAGCAGCAACATGCAAACGAACAGAAGCAAATGCTTGAAATATGTGGCTCTTTGATTAAATTATTGAAATAAAAAAAAAAAGTTTTTTAAAATTATTCCATCAGTGACACTTATTTGGACACATTTAGTTAAAATATTTAGTTTTTAAATCTCGTAAAACATGTTCGTAGGAACCGAACAAACTTCACTCACTGGAATTTTTACTGTCAAAAAAAAAAAAAAAAAGAACATTATCATCCTTCTCGTATACAAACTGCACTAATTCCCTCACCGATGCAAATAGAAAATGAGATCAGCAATCTCATTTCAACTGCAACAGGCTTCAGCTTCACTTTGCAGCACTTTTGCTGTCAGCGTCTCCAGCAGATTCCCGACATGTGTCTCAGTAGGACATTAAGAGAACGACTGCGCTTGTTTCACATCCTGTCAGATGCCATGAATGCTTCAGTGTTGCTCTCTGTATGTTTTAGGTGGCTGTGACAGGGGCACACCTGGGGCAGGACCCATGAGGAGTCATAGAAGATGCTCACAGCCTGGGCGCTTCTGCTCTTCTTAGCCATGTGGGTGAGAAGCACCTCTGGTGGCCCGCTCTCCTTCAGGATAGGTAAGCCGCAGAACAAAATTGCAATCATGTATTTCCTAGCATCGGTCGTCGGGGATTTTTATGTGATGGACTAAGAGCAAGTAGGTGGAAGTGGAAGAAAAAAAACAAAAACAAATGTGGTTCTCAAATGTTTTTGCAAGTAAAAATCTTAGAAAGTGGTATGAATTTGTGTTCTGGCCAGTGTATCAATATTTTATAGACCTGCGTTTTGCTGCGACTCCTTTGGGATTTTGTCTCTGCCAGCTTTGGACATATAGATTCTGAAGTTTCTTTATTTCTCTTTGCAACATAGCCAAAGTTCAGTCAGACTGGATGGGACGGTGTATGTCAGCCAGGCCTGTTACAATAACACATTTTTACTAAACTATAAATGGTCAGAAATTGACAGTAACGCTGTTATTTCGAGACTGTTTTTAAGTCATATGTTGATAATGGCATGAGAATAAGACTAATGAACCATAATTTTATACGGAACCCGGAGATATTTTATATATCCGAAATAAAAACGCAAACACCAAAGACAATAAATAAAACAAAAATGAAAAACGCACATAACCACATTCATTAATAACATGGATTATGAAGTCTGTGTAAACAAAATTGCCCTTCAAAAAAAACATTAATCATCAGAATGGAAACTATAGGCCTCATCTTAATTTATCCTGCAGTTAACTGATTTAATTAATAGCTTATCGCTTAATGTCAACATACATTTTTAAGTCTTGTCACTGATTCTGAATTTAATTTATGTCTTGACCTTGACTGGTTCATTCTGGTAGATGTTTTAGTCTAAATCATTTCATTGTAGCCCGGGCTGCATGGTTATGGTTGCTTTTTCTTCTAGAGGATAAACGTTTGCTCTGGTCTGAATAAAGTCGTTTGCAGCCTCCAACAGATTTTCCTCCAGTATTGGTGTATTGGTGTGGTTTTAGCCCCGCCTGTCCTCCCCGACATCTTGGACCAGCTTCCCGATTCCTGCTGCAGATAATGCATCCCCACAGCATGATGCTGCAGCCACCATGGGTTTTAATTTCCAGGGATATTGTTTTGTTTGGTTTTGCTTTGTATGCTGATGTTGGCTATTGGACTGGAGAACCTTCCTCCAAATGTTTGCTTTCACGCTTTGTTTCAGTGAGCAGTAAGTTTCAGTGAGCAGTAAGTTTCTTCTTGCCACTCAACCATAAAAGCCAGATTTGTGGAGTGCATGACTAATAGTTCAAATTACCTTGATGATGGATTTTGTTAGGCGGTATTACAGTAAAAGGCTGAATACAAATGAATGCCAATATTTTAGAATTTTTTATATAAACAAAACTGAAAGCATGGATCTTTTTTTTTTCACTTCACACATATGCACTACTTTGTTAGTCTGTCACCTAAAATCCTAAAAAAATACATTATTTGTGGTTCTACCATGAAAAAGAGTCGACTTCAAGGTGTATGAATACTTTTGCAGGAGCCTTTTAAGAGGGACAATTAGGCACGTGACCAGCAAAAACTTTCCCTTGATGGATAAATGACTGAGCAGCAAACTGAGTTGTTGATGACATTAAAGAATAAACTTTAAGGCTTCTTTCAAGCAGCCTGTCTCGTACACCTCACCAGACGTTAACTGTCTCATTGTGAAAGGAAAAACAGCTTTAAAGAAAATATCTCAAAAGCCACATGGGAGACTGCGTACTTCTGTATTTTGCTCAAAACGTGTTGAAGAAAAATTTCATGAAGACGTCAGAAAAGTGTGTCAAAGTGAGATTTCTGTGACATGCTCTTCCTCTCCGAATCTGAACCGCTTCACTTAATGAGATATATTTTCAAAGCTTGGGAGCCAAAACAAACTTTTCAGTTTGAGGAAACTTCAGACGTTGAATATATGGTCTTTACCACGGAGCATTGGCGTTTTAGCAGATACCTCCTTTAAGTTTAATTTTGAATGTTTAATGCAGTGGTGTTTATTAAGTCTACAGAAACAATCTTTGTTTCCTGGAAACCACAATCTTTTTTGTTTTATTCATATTTTTATTTTATTGTTTTCTAAACTATTCAGAGCAAGGGCATCCAGATATTTTCTGAAGCCACATCTGGTCCAGAGACACACTTGGATATCTCATACTTGAGCGATGGAGAAAAAGTACTAGACCGTCGCTCCGTGGCCCAAATATATCTCGTCAGATAAAAGCACATTTTGCAATTAATTCATTAGTTAAGGTCCAAAAATCTAAAAGAAGAGTGGAGAGACACAGAATCAGATTTGCATTCAGTGTAAAGTTTCATCGGTCAGGGAGCACCGTCATCTCGTGGTCCAACGTCTCATTCAAGTCCAACTCTGCTGTCCATCAGGAAATACTCGAGCACCTCACGCTTCCCCTTGCTGACCAGCTTTCTGGAGAAGCTGATTTCATTTTCCAGCTGGCCTTGCCATCTGCTTACTAAAGCACAATATCTGCTTTTGTGACCATCGTTGTGCTTGATTGGTCTGCAAACCGGCCTGACCTAAACCCCACAGGAGATCAATGTGGTATTGTTAAGAGGAAGATGGGAGGCACCGGGGCCAACGATGCAGATAAGCTGAAGACCACTGTTAAAGCAACCGGGTCTGTTTACTGAGACAGAGCCGTATTTGCCCTTGACCGTGTATGAATTGGTTTAGATAATGCATCATTTTCAGAACCGGGCTGTATGTAGAGAACAAATATCTGATGCAGTGTGACTAAGACTTCACCTGGCAAAAGCTTGAGCGAGTGTTCATCTATGTTTCTAATTTGGCTTTAGTGGAAAGACATGTGCATCGCCTATAGAAAGAGTAATGGAAAGATTAAGATACATTTTCAGAATAAGCTTCGTTCTGCAGAGAGCAGAGTTTGCTCCCGGCTTCTCTGGGGCCTTGTAGATCTAACCTACAAGAACCCAAGGTCACACACAAAAACCAAATATCACAAGATGATGATAACTCCTTTAATCAAAACTTAAACTTAACAGAATGACACTTACTGAATCCAAAAATGCACATTTTGAGGATTTCATTATCCTCTTCCTGATACCTTACTTGATTTTGTTTAATCAAATAAACAAAATCTTCCCATGAGGACATGTAAGACGTCTGTTTCAGGTGTTGCCTTAAAACGCATCCAAATGTGTGTCTCAGATTAACTCATGTTGTGATGCAAAACACAAAAAACACTATCTTGTTATTTTGCTCATGAACATGGGTTGAAAAATATAGAAATAATTGTGGAAATTCCAGCCAACCTAAAACATGAATGATAGTTTGACTTACTGCTAGAGAAGGAAAAAAAATATTTTTCTTGACTTACAGTGCTCATGATTCATCCATCTGTGCAATTTGCAGATGCCTGAAGATTTCTAGCATAAATAGCTTGGGAATGACTAATCAGGAAGGAGATGGGTTCTGTGCCCTGGAAATGGACATTTTATTGGTATGAAATGTGTACATCCACCCTAAACCAAACATAAAATACCATGTAAAGATGCATAAGCCAGGAAGTGAAAGCCTGAACACAAGCAGGTCACCAAATGGACAATACAAGACATACCAGCAATTTAGTTGCAAAGTGACATAAGGACGAAAAAGGCAATATCTCGGAGAGGCCATCATAAAACTCTGGTCTCAGTTCCATAGATAATGTTTGGGCAGAGTTGAAAGGTATGTTGGGTCAAGAACACATTACAAACCTGACCAGCTGCATCAGGAGAAATGGAGCAAAAAGTTACTAGGATGATCTTGTGAAAGCACACTAGAACGTTTTAATCTAGTAAATAAAAAACAAAAAATCAGTTCTGCAAAAAAGTAATATATAAATATAAACTTCTGTTTTAAAACAATGTGCCCCCCTGCCAGCATGCCTAGGTGGTCCCCATGTGGGGAAAAGGAGGGCCACAGCCCACATGGGCCCTACATGGGCCCTATATGGTGGTGGCCCACCTGGGTTTGTCCATTCAGGGCCCATGTAGGGCCCATGTGGGCTGTGGCCCTACATGGGCAAACCCATGTGGGGCCATCGTGGAACCCGCGAACAAACCCATATGGGTCCCGTATATCAGCCCTCCTTTCCCCCACATGGGTCCCACCTAGGCATGCTGGCTGGAACTTCATTTGATTAAGCAAAAAGCAATGCTTTTGATTATCTCAATGGACGTAAAATACGAAATGTTTATTCAGATTTAATGTCAAACAGCTATAAGGGAAAGATTGTGTTTTACACAGTGAATTTTAAAATCTGTTGTAAATTGTATCAGAGAGCTGAAAACACCTTGAGATGAAAGCTTAATTTATTATTTTTTATATATATAAAAAGAAAATAAAAACATATTTCTCTGAGTGTTTCCTGGTGTCCTTAGCGCTCAGCATCGTCAAGCTAAGTAGTCTTTTCCAAAGACATGTTCTGTTCAAATGAAAGTATTGCTTAGTTTTTTTTAAGTCTGTCTTTCAAACTCCTTAGTGTATATAAGAGCTGTTGCAAAGCTCTTCTGATCTTTAAGTCTGCTATTGTACAAGAAAAATGTTTATCCCTCCATTATTTCAAATGTTAACAGAACTGAGTCAGAGCACACTGTCACTTCTTAACAGCATCAACATTTTCTTATTTCTGAAAAGAACACTTTTATCACTCAGTAGATTTCTCCCCTGTCTGCTCGCTCTCGGCTCTGCTTCTGCGTAATACTGTTTGCAGACTGTCACACAGTGCTTTCAAACCACTTTGTGCTTTCTGAAAACAGCTCAAACCCAGAGTTTTCTTATATGAAAACACCAAGAACAAATCATTCCGTTGGATTTCGAATGTTTGCCGGTTCACGAACAGCAGCTTTTTTTTTTACCCCTTTGTGTACCTTCGCTATTCATCACCAGCCCCTGTCTGACCGTATTAATTCAGGTCTACAGCAGCGCCGGTTGTTTTTCTGCTTCCTGCTGCATCATTGATGGATAATTAGCTGCCTGGCCTGCTTTTTCTCCTTTTTCTCTAATGTCATCTCTGCACATCACC